AAATAATAATTTCGTCAAAATAAAGCAAATAACAACAACCATATATGATACCTTTATCTCGGTCCAAATTCTTTCTTTAGCATCCAACTCTCCTTTTTTCCAGCTAGTAGTGGTGATCGGAATGTGCATATGAACAAGCGTACCGATGTAGCTTGTCAGCTTTGCAGAATTAGGCCCAATTAGTTGGTCATCATTATTCCACTCTACATTATACGTAATACCTCTATCTCTATCATGGATGATTCCCCGCATGATAGTTATGTCTCGTGTGATGTCCTTATCTGAAGTGTCTTGTGGAACACTATCTTGTGGAACATCTCCTTGAGGAACATTTTCTGCATTATCTTGTGGAACATCCCATTGTGGAACATCGTGATACATTTTCTGTCAAAACGCAAAGTATACACGGAATGAATTAAATAGAATGTTATTCAATATTTCGGACAATGGATTAAATAGAATGAAAAGATGGATACTATTAAATTTATGATTAAATAGTTTCGAACTGATAAAGAATGAAAAAGAAATATACCTACATCAAAACATAAATAAAACAATCCTAAATATTTCAAAAAACTAAGATGTCAGATAACAAATTTTCAGTCAAAACACAAAGTATACACGGAATGAATCCGTATCAAGAAAATGCAACATACGAAAGATAATTTAAGACAAATTCATCACAATATATACCAGTAATTTGAGGAAGAAAGTTACCTCTCAGTTGTTTCGAACTCTAAGAAACGCGGAGAATGAGCGTCGTACGTCGAACTAGGCCGGGAAACGCTGCAAATTCATATAATGTTATTCAATATTTCGGACAATGGATTAAATAGAATGAAAAGATGGATACTATTAAATTTATGATTAAATAGTTACGAACTGATAAAGAATGAAAAAGAAATATACCAGTAATTTGAGGAAGAAAGTTACCTCTCAGATGTTTCGAACTCTAAGAAACGCGGAGAATGAGCGTCGTACGTCGAAACATAAATAAAATTCCATAAAGCAAAGATGTCAGATAACAAATATTTCATAAAATTCCATAAAGCAAAAAAATGAAATGATGTAGGCTATATATATTATACTATAATGAAAAAAATGAAATGATATAGGCTATATATATTATACTATAATGAAAAAAATGAAATGATATAGGCTATATATATTATACTATAATGAAAAAAATGAAATGGCATATATATACATTTTATTGAATGACATTGTCTATAATTATATATACTATTACCTTTTTCACTAACATCTCTTTCTTTTCTTGGTAGGAATATGTTCTACTCGTCGATTGTCGAAAGATATATACTATTTTAACATTGAATATCATTGAATATCATTCTCCTAACATTTTTTAACATTGAACTGTATTGCAACCTTCGACTATTAATCATTGAATATCATTCTCCTAACATTTTTTGTTGCAAAATCACCAATAATCTAATCAAAATCAAGATTCTTTAAAAAATGATCGCCAATTGAAATCAAAGCAAGCTAACTGAACTACAAAACATGTATAATAGCATAATGTAATATATATATATATATATATATATATATATATATATATATATATATATATATATATATATATATATATATATATATATATATATATATATATATATATATATATATATATATATATATATATATATATGCTATAGTATCATCACAGTTAACGGTATCAGTATATATATGCTATAGTATCATCACAGTTCACGGTATGAGTATATACGTTATAGTTCTCCGCAAACTTAAATTGTAAACTTTTAGTATAAATGCCGGAATGAGCAGTAAAATTAGCCGGGCAATAATTCCAGCGGCACAGGTAAATACCGGCATTAATCTCAGGGGTTCTAATCCTACTAATATACCTACATGAATTTCACAATAGGAAGGGTACAGTTAGTGCATACAATGTAACTAAGTTGTTTTTGTAGTCTCTGTACGGTCGCTTTAGAAAACAAGTAGTCTAAAATATCACCATCAAAACTTCAAAATCTTTTTCAGCAAATCTTTGTCCTGAAAAATCAGCTTTTCTCATAGCATCAACAAAATCAGGTAAATCCCAGCTTTTCTCATAGCATCAAGATATGGGAAGTATGAGTATGAATCCATTACTTTGAAGTACTGAATCTTTTGGATACTATAACTACTTCCTTAACCAGAACTACACCATGATGGAGAAGAGTTTTATCATGCATAAGCCACCGTCCAAATCTAATAATTAATTTTATGGTTAATTGGAACTAAACCTAGGCCGTGGAAGCAGATAATGGAAGAAGATAATGGAAGAAGAAGAAACTTACCAAGATGGAGAAGACGGAACGAACGGCGGCGACGACTGAAGAAGACGGAAGGAACGGCGGCGGCGACGAAGACGGCAGAATGAAGAAGACGAAGAAATGAAGAAGAGTACTGAACGAACGAATCTGAGGGCAAATATCAGATTTGGTGATTTTTAATTTAATTATAAAAACAACCTACGAAAGCGCTTTTAAAAGCGCTTTCGTATGCCCCCCATATGAGAGCGCTTCTGAGGTAAAAAGCGCTTTCGTATGCCCCCCATATAAGAGCGCTTTAGAAAGCGCTTTCGTAGGTCCCCCTTTCAGAGCGCTTTTCAAAAGCGCTTTTATAGGTCCACCTATAAGAGCGCTTTTCAAAAGCGCTTTCGTAGGTTAGATATTTCAAATACCTATGAAAGCGCTTTCTGAAAAGCGCTTTCGTAGGAAACCCTATAAAAGCGCCTTTTTAAGCGAATTTTTTTTAAAGGCTACGAAAGCGCTTTCTCTTAAAAGCGCTTTCGTAGATGCGCTGCCAAAAATTGTTTTTTTTGTAGTGTGAAAAGCGTTATTTGTTGTAGTGTATCTACATCCACTACTATATATCTTATTCTCTTTCTTATGAAAGCATTTGTCATGAAAATATTTGCTCAAGATAATGAAATCTTGAAACTTAAAGAAGGTTGGAAAAGATCTTTATGACGGATTGCTAAGTGCAGAAAAAATATTCTTGCTTCAAGTTAAACAAAGAAGGGAGATCAACCATGAATAACTTATTAGAAGTTTGATGCATACAAGCTGTATGCAACAAAATCTGGATTACAACAAAGATTTATTATTCTCCAATAACAAAAGCGACGATGATGAATTTGGATTTATTGTAATCAATGTATTCTAATATTCCGCGTAAACAATTAAAATGTTAAAAAAAAGTTTATTCACCTGAATTTTAAACAGAAACCGAGGGGTAAATACTTTTTACATCAGTTTTGTGATAATCAAGGGGATAATTAAGCGTGTTTATTGAAGATATTCATCGTCCTTAAACAAATTCTTATCATCTATTTAATGAGTATCAACATTCAAGACAATACCATTTGTGATCCGCGCGAAACATAAAAAACTTACATTATAAAAGCATTCTGAATATCAAAAATTGATAATGAAATATCATAAAACGCTTGAAACTATCTACATCTACTATTATATATCTTGTTCTCTGTCTTGTGAAAGCATTCATCATGAAAAGTTCTCTATGATGAATTTTAAGAGCAGATAATTATCTAGGTTTAAAGTTTGTGTTCTTAACTATTTATTTGGCCGAAAATCATGTATTTATCTAACCTTTTATTTTTGTTTTATATCAGAAACAAATGTAAGTAAAAGCAATTGAAAATATTTGGGCACCTAACATTTGATTTTCCCCAAATTTCAATGATTTCAAGATCCAACATATGGTCTTCATGGAAAATTTTATTTTTACTTTAATATTCTGTGTAAACAATGTAATATTCTAGGTAAACAATGTAATTTGTAAACAAACTAATTTATTAATATTATGTGTAAATAATGTATTGAGTTTTAAAAAAATAATCTATCTTACCTCTCAATTTTATTGATAAACCGAGAGATATGATGCGTTAGTTTTGAAAATGATAAAAGCGCATAGTTGGGGTTCGAACTCATGTGCAGATAATTTTACCCTTCATTCTTTTTAAAAATTGAGGGGTAAAATTGTAGCTTTTCACGACGTACTTCGTTATCTCACTTCCATAGCCGAGGTTAGATGCATTTTGCGCCCGAGATAAAATATCTTTTTTGTAGTAGTGCATTTTTTAAAAACTACTCAGTTCAAATCAAATTTCAAATTGATTTTTCAAAATTGAACCAAACCGCATCTATATATATTTTTTATTTATTTTTTAATTAATATGATAGTTGTGCTAATTTATTATTTGACGATATTTATTTTTTAAAATATTATTTATTAATTTATTTTAATCTATTTATTTTATTATTTCATTTGTTTCAATCATAATCGATCATTCTCATAATATTCATTTTTAATATACTATATTTTATATTCAACCTATTATTTATGTGTATTTTTATAATCTTAATAAAAAATATAATTTGTAATTTAGATATTCAAAAACCGATTTAAATTAAATCACATGAAATTGGATTAGATTGAATCAGATTTTTTTAATCAATCATCCAAAATTGAATCGAACCGCGAGTAAATATATCTTTGAATCAGATGAACTTTTACCTCAAAACGTACCATGAGCACCGCTAACATAAACCAAATATTTCCTACGCGCAAACATATCCAAGACTGAATTAAATCTATGATTTCTAATTAAATTAGAAGAGATCAATGTCATCTCATTCGACTGCTCTCAAATATAACCATACGATTTAATAACCAACTTAAGTATTTATTCCATATTATTAAATAATCTTTTTCTTAATAGATCTAAGGGTAGTTTGGGAAAATACAAATGCCTTTTGGAAAATAAGTTGCATATGGACCAAGCAAACTTTGAAAAGCCAATGAGAACATTAATTCAAACATAGAATCTCTTCACATATAATATACTTACCAACACTAAGAAATCACCAAATTCTCTTCCTCTCTTCACTTCACCTTTTCCCATTCTTCTTCCTCCTCTTTGCAGTAAAAGTAGAATTCAAGAAACCATGGATGTATCAGAAAAGCTTCTAAAATATAGATACCCTATAACAATAGCACTATTAATTTCAATATTGTTTTCCTTGGTGATATATGCAGCTCCACATTTTCTAAGCATTCTGGCTTATTTTTGGCCTTTATTTGCTTCAACTACTGTCTTCTTGATAGCAATAATAGCCTTTGGAGGTGTTTCAAAATTCTCAAGTGAAACTCATGGTGAAAAAGCTGGTGAAGGACTCTTGGATTATGTAGCAGGAAAGCCAGAACATACTCAAGAAGCTCAGTATTTTTAAGTCAATCAAGTGTACATGTTTCATGGTTATTTAAGATGGTTCTTTCAAGTTCGTAATCTATGTTCAATGATGTCATGTTATTTCTGCTCTAAGAGATAAGTGTATCAAATATCAATCTATAATGTATATAATGATTGTTCATTTTCCTATGCCCAAAACTTTCTTTTTCATATGTATAAAAGAAAGCAAGCATCTAACTTACCATATTATTTCCGCCAAGGTTTTAAACTACTATCGCCTTTGTATTGCAATCGCATAAAGGCTTTAACGGTGATTACGGTCCTCGCGGTATAAATTAATCACAATTTATTTTTATCATAAAAACATTGAAATAACAATATTGATATTGAGATCTTCTAATAATGTTTTGTTACAATAGTTTTTGCGATGACAAGCCGTTTTTTAAATTCTTTTTTGGCTTAACTAGAGATTTTAGGTTTAATTTCGGTCTGGACATACAATAATGTTAAATATTTTGAGGAAGAATTTTGATGTTTATTATGATTCTTTCTATGAATTTCGTGTAGAGGATACTCGATTTATATATTGAGAAGACTCTACCTTGGTAACACAATTTTTCTTGAGTTTGTTCACTGTCTTTTTATCTTCATTATGAGTAGAGAATTATTAGTAGAGGGGAGAATAGATCCGACTAATTAATAGGGGTCTACGGTCTAGTCTACATAGATTTAGGGTAGGTCAGACTTTTTAAATAAAAAAGATCTAGTCTTTTTATAAACCTATTTAGTTAAATAGTCTAAGACATAGTCCATGAAAAAGTCTTTTAAACCTATCAATTTCTAAAGAGTGTGATAAAATATTACAAAATATTAATGATAACATCATATTTTATTTAATAAAAAAAATCTTAAAGAATTTGTGAAAAATGTTGAAAAAATCTTATAAATAATATGATAAGTTGTTTTTATAAGTTTTATTAAATAAATAATCTTAAAAAATTTATGCTACTATATAAACTCAAATAAGTTAATATAAATAAATATTTAATCTCATATGCTTTTGATTTCTTAGTTAAATTTCTTATTTACATATATTCAAATGATATAAGTTTTTAAGCAGGTTAATAAACTAATAAGGTATTTGAAAAAGTCAGACTCAAGTCAAAAAAAATATATTTATGATAGGTCACATATCAGATTTAGGTCTTGGATTTTTTTAATAGGTGAGACTCAAGCTCAACCTATTCCCACCCGTAATTATGGGAATAAAATAAGGAATGTTCTTTAGCACTAACTATGTTTTGAAAAAAAATACACAATTAATCGTGTTTCGGAGAAATTACCTGCGAAATTACCTAGAGATTTTTCTATGAAATTACTGGCGGAAAAATAGTCTATGGGTAAATCTACAAGTAAATCCGCAAGAAAAGTTAAATCCGTAGATAATAGAAAAAATTGAAAAAAAATTAGGAGATGATAAGACGCCATTTCACTTGACATCTCCTTTAAAAAAAATCAATGCATACGACATCTGAGACAACTACTGCATTATAACATTTTCTAAAACATGATCATTTACGTAAATTTCTCTAAAACATAATTATTTGTGTTTTTTTCTCAAGATTATTATTAAAAAAATTCTATAATAAAGAGCACGTTTATAAAAATCGGCATTCCTAAAATATATACATATTAAATTGGTAGGCGAAGACACATGAATTATTTTAACAACTAAATAAGTAACTTGTAGTTGTTATTTTGGTTAGTTCATGTGCTACATGTTGTGTCTGCTTCGCTTTATTCTTACTATCTTTAATGGCTGAATTGAAGGTGGCCTGATTTTATCATCGCCCACATGTATTTCATATAATATGTCTTCACCAATCACCATGAAAGAGTAATATAGAACAGTAGAGGGATACATGTTTTATTTACCTATAGAGTAGAAAAAGTAATTTCTTACTTGCTTTGTTCTAGTCTCAAGTTCAGTTTTTGGCATAGACATGTTGTCAATCCTACAGTTTTAAATTTCTTGGTCTGGCCTCAAACAATAGTGGGTAGATCTTCCTTAGATGCTACCACAAAAAACATCTCTCAATCTGCCTAATTGTATGAACAATCTTGTTTTTCATCTTTATATATAAATCACTTTGCTTGTATTTGGTTTCACATTAAGGCCATTTAAAATTGATTTTGAAATTGTAAAATTAATTTTGATGCGTTAGGTTATTCTTTAGTATAATTGATATTGCCTTTAAAATTAATTTTAATTGGAAAAGTTATCGTTTTTAACTTTTAAATTTAAATGTGATTTTTATATTTGAACATATATGTTTTCCGAATTAGAATTCGTAATTATAAATTTCATGTTTGAGGAGCGGTGAACCGTCATAAATATTAATGTAGTAAAGTCCATACAACATCACCTAATTCGGCACACTCACTTACAACCACGTGAGGAGCACAAGAGATCTCAATCAAGGTTCAGTAAACTAGGGTATGCGTTTAACATGTGGGCGATTTTGCCACGTCTTGAGATAATGTCGGAAGTGAGTCATTCGCCATGCTCCCTGATGAAGTGGAGTCGTGCTAGTCAAGATCAAGAAAATAGTGTCACGACTCTCCATGCATCACTAGGTCATAGAGGGCTATATATATATATATATATATATATATATATATATATATATATATATATATATATATATATATATATATATATATATATATATATATATATATATATATATATATATATATATATATATATATATATATATATATATATATATATATATATATACCTCAAGGACTAGGCTAAGGGATCACATTATTTATAAACCACCTATGTATGACCTCTTCTTTGGCCTATCACATGTAGGGTATGTGTGAAACCTTGTTTTTGTTAGTGCGTGTGACATTTTTAGTGAAGAGAGAATAATAAAAGAAATCAGGATTTGTGTTATTGAATTGTGCAAATAATGATACAGATTAGAACTATTTATATACAACCCTAATTGGGTTTGGATCTACACAACTTGGATTATATTTAAATATTAAATCTAATCTAATCTAATATTTTAACAAATCTAATTTAATATTTCAACACACCCCCGTAATCCAAGTTGTTGAACATACTCTAAAAATAGTCAATCTGAACTATTCCTAATTTCTTTCTCAAATTCAGGAATATATTGATCTTCAATCCTTCGGTGAAAATGTCGGCCAACTGTGCTTCACTTGAGCAACGTCTTACTTCAAGTTCACCTCGATTTACCTTTTCCCTTAAGAAGTGAAATCTTGCTTCGATATGTTTACTTATTCCATGCAGAACTGGATATTTTGCCAGATTTATGGCTGACTTATTATTGATTTGCAACACAAGAGGTTTCTCCACTTCAACCTTCATTTCTTCAAGTACAGATCTGATCCAAATTGCTTGACATGCAGCATAGGATCTTGCTATATATTCAGCTTCACACGATGAAACGCTACCACATGTTGCTTCTTCGAACACCATGAGATTGAGGCACCAAATACTTGAAAGAAATATTTAGTTGTGCTTCTTCGATCTTTATTATCTACACACTAATCAACATCTGAAAAACAATTAATCGTTTCTTCTTTGCTTTCAGAGTCTCGTCGAAATAGTATTCCACAGTTTATTGATCCTTTTAAGTATCTCAGGATTCTTCTTGCAGCCTTCATGTGTGACACCCTTGTTTCACTCATGTATCTGCTTACTAGTCCAACTGCAAAACCTATATCAGGTCAACTATTGCACACATACCTCAAAGATCCCACAATTTGCTTGACCAAAGTTACATCGACTTTGTCTTCCTCTCCATTCTTCTCTAATTTCACATTTGGTTCGATAGCTGAGGATGCAGGATTTAAGTCATCCATTTTGAATCTCTTGAGTATTTCTTTGACATACTTTCTTTGATGTAGCATCATACCTTGCTTCAACATTAGAAATTCCATAGCTAGGAATAAGACAATTTTCCCATATCAGACATTTCAAATTCCTTCATCATTAACTCTTTGAACTTTGACAAGTTCTCCAAGCTATTTCGTGTTGCCAGCAAGTCATCGACATACAAGAAAATGATTGTTATAACTTGTGCTACAATCTGAACATAGACACCATACTCATATTTGTATTTGACAAATCTCAATTCGACTAAGTATGAGTTGATCTTCTTGTTCCATGCCCTAGGTGCCTGCTTAAGGCCATAAAGCGCTTTGTGCAACTTATATACTTTACTCGCTTCCTTCTGAATCACAAACCCTGGAGGTTGTGTGACATAGACCTCTTCGTCTAAAGGACCATTCAAAAATGATGATCTCACATCTAAATGAAATATTGACCATCCTTGGTTGCATGCTAATGCTACCACTAGTCAAACAATCTCCAATCTTGCTACTGGAGAAAATACTTCGGAGTAGTCAAGTCCTTCTAGTTGAAGAAACTTTCGAGCTACTAATATTGCTTTATGTCTTGCTATCGAACCATCAGCATTATGTTTCAACTTGAACACCCACTTCACTTTGATAGCTTTTGTATGTGTTGGCAATTCGACTAACTCCCACGTGTTGTTTCTTTCGATTGCCTGTAACTCTTCGACCATAGCTAACTTCCATTGTTTAATCTTCAAAGCTTCTATATAGTTAATTGGTTCAACACCTACAAATAAAACAAAATGAACTAATTCTCCATTTGATGTGACTTCATCATCACCCACCACTTCATAATCATGAAGTCTTGTTGGAATAACTCTATTTCTTTGAGGTCTTTGCCTTGTTTCAACCATAATCTCTTTGACTTCGATTGTGTCGGGAATGTTAGCAACTGCTTCTTCTTCGACTTTGACTGGATTCTCAATAATTCCTTATACCCCTACTTCATCAGTTTCTTCATCAAAATCAGAGCTCATCAATGGATTGTTAATTGAATTGCTAGAATTTCAATCCCAGGCAGAATTTTCATCAATCACAATATCTTGACTCAACACAGTCTTCTCATTAACTAGATTGAAT